TCTCTCTGGGAGCTAGGGGTTCTGTATCATGCTAAATCTACATAAAAGTGAGCAGAGACAGCTCAGAGTTACTTGGTATCTGGATAAAGGCTAAGTCATTGGGGCAGCCGAGAGCATGGTGATTCACAGTTCTGAAGTCGGGCAGACTTGAGTCTGAATCCAATGTCTGCTCTTCAACACTGATTGAGTTTCTAAATGTGTTTGTACCTTGCCTTTCATACCTTTATATGGGATAATAAATAATACTGCATCAGGTTAGTGTGAGGATTAAGGGACTTAGATGTGTGAAGTGCTTGGAAGATTTCTGGTTTGCAAGGAGCGCTCAGTCGATGTTCATGTGTAAGCAGGATTACAATAACAAAATGATTTGGTAGTAAACATCCATAATTCTAAATAAATGCATCACTCCAGTCAGAATATTTGCAAGTTTACAGATGCACCTATTATGTGCATGAATGTAAAATTCTTGGTGTGGAAAATGTATATTTTCTCTTCTCTTGCCCAAAATATTAATTATGAAAAGTAATGAATTACTATGGAAATATTACTGAACTGCAACATAAAATGCCCAGTGGTGATAACTAATACTTTAAAAATGACTCTTCACATATAATTGTCATGTTCAATTTGTAATTCATTTTCAACCTTTTAATGAATCACCGAGGATAACTAACAAGTTTTATTTTATAAATTTTTTTTCTGTTAAATAAGGTTCCTTCTCTTCATAGGCAAACTGTGAGAAGAGAAATTTAAATAACCAGCAAATCAGTGATTATAAAACTTTGTAACTGTTCTATATTATTGTGATCATGCATTTTTCTTATTTTTAAATTTACTGATACTGAGAATAAGTGGATATTTTTTTACTCCTTTTATATTTATTCCATATCTCTAAATATATTTTTAAGTTACATAATTTTTTAAAAATATTTTATTTATTTATTTTTAGGGAGGAAGGGAGGGAGTGGGAGAGAGAAAGAGAGAGAGAGAGAGAGAGAGATCAATGTGCGGTTGCTGGGGGTTATGGCCTGCAACCCAGGAATGTACCCTGGCTGGGAATTGAACCTGGGACACTTTGGTTCCCAGCCCGCGCTCAATCCACTGAGCTACGCCAGCCAGGGCTTACATAATTTTTTAAGAAGTAAATATCACCTTCATTTGCCTTCAAGGTGATTTGACCAATAAAAGTATCCTGTAATTCAACAAAAAGGCAAGAAGTTCTGAGTGCTTACAATGTATTTAGTGCAATGGATTAAAGAAACAGAAAAAAAAAGAACTGATTTTTCATCCAAACATTTTTTTTAATTATTCTACTTTATTTTTATTGCAGTAGCATTGGCTTGCAATATAAGTTTTAGGTGTGCGACATTATAATTTGACATCTGTATGCACTACATCATGCTCCTACCTAAAGTCTGGTTTCCATCCATCCCCATGCAAAGGAATCCCTCCACCAGTTTGCCCTCCTTCCACTCCACTTTGCTTACTGTAACCTGTTGTCTCTTTTAATTTGTTTGTTTGTTTGTTCAGCTGTTTTGTTTTTGTGGTTTTGTGGAATATTAAAAATTATGCTTAACTAGTATAAATTAGCTAAACTCTATAGTTACATCGTTATCACTCTATTACAATTTACAGCGTTTACCTCTTTAAATATGGGTGAATGAAGCAGCATAACACGGTGGAATGCATGCCCTGGTTTAGCATTGACCTGATTTTATACAAGACATGATATGACTAACATCATTTTGCCTCTTTTGCTTGATGATGGGTGTAGACTACATGATACCTCTTCTACTACTAGTCTGAAACCTTACATGCTGGCTAGCCTTCTGGTACATACCACTGAACCAGCTCAGCTCCATCTCCCTAGTATTCCAGTTGCACACTTGAGTACAGGCTTGCTTCATACTGAATAATATTATGGGCCACTTGGGTTATGGTTCTTTTACTCAGCTCTAGTTCTAATCTCAGTGTTCAAGTGTTTCCAAAGATCTTTAAGGATTTGTTTATTTATTTTCTACTGTGATTCCTCTGATACTACCCAACTCTTGGAATGAATTGTCCTTTGCCTGATATTTCTACCTGCATGTCTCAGCTTCCCCATTTCTGACCCCTAGTCACCTGCTATTGGGTTTATGCTCTTACTTCTGACTTGTATGGTACATTGGATAGTGAACTCTATGTGCTAATGGCATTGGTATCCCTCCATGCATGCTTGCTCTCTTAACAAGTGAACTGGGATATGCCCTGGTGAATATCATTAATCCTTAGGAGGAGGAGAAATGTGTATATCAGCACCATTTCCTTTCAAGAAAAATGAAGCAAGAAATGGCATATGTAATTTAGTCTGGTGGCTTTGTAAAATATGAATATTCAGAGGAGGTAGTATATAACTAAAACATTAGTAGAAATCTCTTATAACATGTTTAATTAAAAGATTTGTAATATCAACATTAAATGGTGTTTCAGAAATAAAGATGTCTAGATGAAGAGACCAAGAAAAACTGGAGAAACTTCACTCCTGGCCATTGAGCTATTGTCATAAAATCCCCTATATAATATAGAATAATATGAAAATCCACTTAGTCAGATTCACTCTGAATTCTCAGTTACTACCCCTGTCCCACACCCAGTTAATAAAGCTAAGGCATTTTTAAGCCCTGAGGCAGAGTTGCTCAATATAAAGGCACATAATCAGTTTTCTAAGATTGTTGTTCAAGAGTCATAACAAAGTAAGAAGAACTGTGGGTAAACCAAAGTAGTTCCTAGTTCCAATTCCATCCCTAAAATTATACTAAGAAAAGGCATTTAAAAAATCCTAGTGACAATGGCTGGATGAGAAATCATGGTTTTCCTTGGCTCTATGCCTACTAAATCAAGAGACCAGGCTCTACTTCAATGCTATAACCCTGCCTCAATTCTCAACTGTGACTATACTAACAGGCCATTATCCCAATTCTTTCAGTAACTGGTTTTGTCCTAAAATTAAAGTCCATATTCTCATCAGTGGGTACATCTATCCAGTAGCTTTTGTCTCCTACCCCCCATTAGCTAGAATGTAACCAAATTCCTACTTAGACTCTTTAAGTGGACAATACAGATACGTGGTATAGTTTTGCTGTTTGTTTATGACATGCATGGTACTCCTGCTCTTTATCATGTGTGTTAGCCTCTTATATTTTCACTTGAATGATTATTTTCTCATCTCAATTAATTGACTTCCTCATTGCTTCCCCTAACCACATGAGAAGCTGCCTCCATTTTGTGTGCTTGCTTTCTTGTCTGTGCAGTGATGTCCTACAACTTAGGTCTATGGCCTGATTTCTTTTTACAGACAATAATTTTGTAGAAACAAAGCTAAAAACCATCCTTTATTTTATTCATCCATTTTTACATATTTATTTAGTATCCTCTACATGCCAGTTGCCAGGCATTCTTTTACTTAGGCACTGGGATAATAGAAAAGAACTTGCAGAATAGGAGACATGAATATGGAAGCCATCATTCTCCATTAATTTATGCATATTAAATAAGCACTTATTCTGGGTTAAACAATATGTTGACATCGTGGACACAAAAATAAATAAAACAGTTCCTGCCTTGAAAGGATTTATGGGAGTAGTAGTCATAAAAACAGAACATATACTATCATGTGGCATGCCTAATTGAATTAAAGAGGGTGATATGGGAGCATGAGCTGGTACAAGATGATACTGATGAGGTAGGAAGGAGATTGTGTGGTGTATTAAGGGGACTACCCTTAGAGGGAGATGGTAAAGCATGGCTGTGTATTACCATGGGAGGTAGGCATAAGTTATTTGAATTCAATAAGTTATTTGAAATCCTCTCTTCACTCACTAACTCAGTGACAATGAGTATGTAATCTCTATAAGTGCTGGTTGATGCACCTATAAAATGTACATTTAGATAGCATTTATTTTTATAGAATTGTTGTGAGAAATAAATGTGATAATTCACATACTTAGCCTAATACCTGGCACACAGTTTTTGCTCAATAAGTAGGCATCACTATTTTTTACAGGCAATGAGAGAATTCAAGAGTATTTCAAACAAGGTAGTGATGTGGCCAAAACTCTGTTTGAGATAAAGCATAGTCAAAATTGTAAGAGTAATAGTCTTGAAAAATGTGATAAACATATTGGTGATATGTATCAGGACTGATGTTTATGGAAGAAGCTCATGCTGGAGTTAGAATTATGGACAAATAAGGTTGTAGCTATAGTGTGAATGGATGTCACCAAAGGATGGGTTATGGATTAGATAATCAGTTGGCTAAAGATGAAATTGTGTGGCACACAAAAATGTAAGGGGTAAATAACAGCAAGTGACAAATGTCTGTAGGAAACAAGTAAGAATTATCATGGATGTGTCCAATACTAAGTACCAGAATGGAGGTCTTCTCCTGGAAAAGCCATGGAAAGGTTCCCCTGAGGGGGCAAAGAGCTGGGTATTGGGAAAGGAGCACAAGCTTGTTGTTCTAACAGGTGGGAAAAGCATGATGTGTGGTGAGAATAGAAGTCCCAACACTAATGATCTCGGTGAGGCTAAATTACATGACACACAGGAGAATGGTATAAAACAATGCAATTAATGTCCCAATAAAATATTGTAATAGAGAGGCCTTATAGTGTTTGAGATGGGCCATTGGCTAGGCAGAAGAAACGGTGCTGAGTACTTCAGTTAGGCGAGTCAAGCAGAAGAACCAGCTGAAAACCCGTGATAACAACAGGAGTGAGTGATGACCAGGCTCCAGCTGAGAGCTTCTTTGGGACAGTTCATTACATCTTTATTGATAACTTAGGGATAAGGATAAGGCTGAACTGAAAGTTGCTTCCCCCATGCCATAAATTTCCAAGAGATAATGAGGCTAACTATGTTATTTCAGTCACCATAAAATTAAATACCAACCTGAATGATATGATATCCAGTTATGCTACTAGAGAGAAATATAACCAACACTTTTGCTTTTTTTCTTAAAGGATTTTCCAGAAAATGAGAAGTCCACAGCAAAGGCCCTGGAGGATGTAAAGGCAAATTTTTACTGTGAATTATGTGACAAGCAGTATCACAAACACCAGGAATTTGATAATCATATTAATTCTTATGATCATGCGCATAAGCAGGTAAGCAAAAGTGGGAGAAATCCTTTATAGTCCTGGATCTATACTTTTAGAACAGAACATATCCAATTCACCTTATTTATTATCATCTAAGATTCTGAGATGAAACCATTTTATATATTCTTTTTCCCCCTAAAAAGTTGTGTTTTTGTCTAAGTATTAGTGAAAGTATTTTTGTAGAAGTAGCATAAAACTGTAGGTGAATGTAGAGGTGATCTAAGAGTATACTGACATTTATTTTAGAATTGTGTATATGGGGAAACCAGAACCCAACAAAAATAGTGTCATATTCAAAACCACCTAGCTAGTTAGTGGCAGAACCACAACACTGGACAGAATAGGACAGAATCTGTTATACAGTTCTTTTGAGAGTTCCAAGGTGCAGGGATAGGGAATAGTAGATCTTGGAAAAACCATTCCGAATGGTTATGTTTCTCCAAGAAAACTCTATTACAAGAGTCAAGTGGTTACTTAGTAAGTGAACCATTTCAAAGAAACAGAACCTCCCTTAAAACGGAGGGGTAATGGCAGGAAGAAACATTTTCTTTGTGTGTGTGTGTGTGTGTGTGTGTGTGTGTGTGTGTGTAATAGCATAGATATTGCACACATGGCTGCTAATATTCTGTGTTTTAATCTGTCTGTAAAAGAGAAGGCTATTGCTTCCATTTTTGGTTTTATCTTTGCTTATGGAATTTAGAAATTAAGAGTATTAAATACCATTAAGAAGGAAATCCCAATATGAGCAAAGAATTATTGCTAATAGCTATAAGAAAGTGCATAATCCTGATGTCAAAAGGACCAGATATTGGAATACATGGTTATGTTTTATATTATCTAGACCTATGATATTTATGCACAGTGAATAACAATAAATATTTTGACTCACATCACTAATATTTATTGAGTGCATAGAAAATACATGGCCTGGGGAGATGCAAGACAGCTTCTGTTTTAAAAGATATGGCATGTGTATGCAATTACATTTCACTGAAAAGAACAAGAGCTACAGGATAAATTGTTTTGAAATTGTAATTCATGAATCTCTATGTGCATAATAATTACTTAGGAACTCATTAATGATGCATATTCCCAGATTATCATTCAGGTATTTAGATTCAATAGCTCTGAGATGGGACCCAGGAACATGCATTTTTAAATAATATAAAACAGAATTTTTCAAACACATAAAAAGTGAACTATATGGTTCCTATCCAGCTGCAACAATAATACATTTTCTTTCATTTTTACCAACTCTGCTCACCTTTCCTCTCCCCTCCGCCACCATGCATTATTTTGAAGCATGTTCCAGACATCATATCATTTCATCTGAAAGTGTTTCAAGATATATAATGATACTTAAATAGCATCGTCTTTGTCATATGTAAAAATTAATAGTGATCTCTTAATATCCATTATGGTCTTTCCTTAGTTATTTCATAACCGATTTATGAATCTGAGTCAGTTCAAATCAGGATCCAAAAATATGTAGACTTGTGTTTGATGTGTCAAACAAAAACATATCTTAGGAAGCCATTGGTCCTTGAAAAACATGGGTTTAAACTGTGCAGGTCCAATTATGTAAAGATTTTTAAAAATAAATATGTTGGAAAATTTTTGGAGATTTGAGACAATTTGAAAACACTAACAGACAACCTGTGTAGCCTAGAAATACTGAAAAAAATCAGAGAAAGAGTTGTGTGTGTATATATTAAATGTATAAAATATATGTAGATGCTGGCTGACTTTATCATTTACTACCATAAAATATATACAAATCTATTATAAAAAGTTGAAAGTTAACCAAATTTATGCACAAAATACAGACAGCACATGGTGCCATTCACAATTGAGAAAAATAAAAACAAACGGAAATGGGTGGTATTAAAATCAAGACTGAGAAAATTAACTGTAGTGTCTCCTGTGCACTGCTGTAGCATTTCGTAGCCACCTCCTGTTGCTATGGCAAGTGTTTCTAGTATAAGCTTAAAACATCTTGTGGGGCTAATTCTCCCTGCAGGAGCAGTCCCCTCCAGTAAGTGGTGAACAAGTAAAAAGTGATCTCTCGCAGTTCTCCCATATTTCCCATCACATTTAGTGTAATGCTGCATACCTTGAATAACACCAGAGAACCATGCCAAGTGTCCATAGTGATTCTGAAAGTGTTCCCAAGAATCAGAAAAAAGTATTGAATTATAAGAGAAATTTGAATTACTTGGTATGTAACATAGGGTGAGGTATACAGCTGCTGTTGCCCATCATTTCAAGATAAATGAATCCAGCATAAGGACAACTGTAAAAAAGAGTGATGCTGTCATAGCAGCTATGCCAGCAAGTGTGAAAACCTTGCACTTTTTGCAAAATACCATGTTATGTCATATTAAAAATGCAGCTTTTATGTGGGTGCAAGGTTGCTATAAGAGAAGCATACCTATAGACTCAAACATGATTAGAAAAAAAACGAAGACATTATATGACAACTTAAAGCAGAAGGAAGGTAAAGGATCTAATGCTGGAGGATTTTATGACAGCAAAGGATGGTTTGATAATTTTAGAAAGAGATTTGACTTAAAAAAAAAGAAACATCAAGACACCAGGCAAGCATCTTCTGCTGACCAATAGGCAGCAGATAAGATCCCAGATGCCATTAAGAAAATCATTTAGCAAAAGGGATATTTACCTGACCAGGTTTTTAAAGCAGACAAAGGTTCCCTGTTTCGAAGGGGTGGAGGTGGAATAAAAGCTGCAGAGGAAATTTATCAGCAAGAAAGAGAAGAAGGGAAGCCAGCACCAGGATTTGAGGCAAGACGGGAATAGGCTAACTCTGCTGTCAGTGTAAATGCAGTTGGGTTCATGACCAGGATTGCCCCTATGGATAACACCGCTAACCCGTGAGCCTAAGACAAGAGATGAACACCTGCTGCCCGTCTTTTGATTGTACCACAAGGAGGCCTAGACAATGAGGATCCTTTTTCTGGTTCTATCAATACTTTAAGTTTTCCATTCCATCTTTAAATTTAACTCCTCTAATTTTTTTCTGTGAAAGTCTATTTTTTATTTTTGTTATTGTATTTTTACATTACTATTTACCTCTCTTATATCCCCCTCTCCCACCCCACAATCACCACACTGTTATCTATGACCATGAGTCCTTTTTCCCTCTTTGCTTAATTTTTCCACTTTGTAACTACCCCCATAGCTGTCATCCAGCTATCTCTCAGTCGTTTTCTGTTTTACCGATTAGTCCAGTTTGTTCATTAGATTCCACATGTGAGTGAAATCAGATGGTGTTTTTCGTTCCCTCACTGGCTTATTTCACTTAGCATAATGTTCTCCAGATCCATCCTTGCTGTTGCAAAGGGTAAAATTTTCATCTTTTTTATGGCTGAGTAGTATACTATTGTGTAAATGTCCCATAGTTCATAGTAATATTTCATCTGATATATCTACTTAGGAAAATGAGAAAAAGAGAAAATAAGCAAATGGGACTACATCAAAGTAAAAATCTTTGTACAGCAAAGGAAATCATCAACAAAATAAAAAGACAACCCATAGAATGGGACAACATATTTGCCAATACATCTGGTAAGGGAGTAATATCCAACATGTATAAAGAACTTTCAAAACTCAACACCAAAGAAACAAAGAATCCAATTCAAAAAATGGGCAAAGGATCTGAATAGACATCTCTCCAAAGAGGACATACACATGGCCAATAGACATATGAAAAGATGCTCAACGTCACTAATCATCACAGAGATGCAAATTAAAGCCATAATGAGATGTTATCTCACACCTGTCAGAATGGCTATCATCAATACATCAACAAACAACAAGTGCTGAAAAGGATGTAGAGAAAGGGAAACCTTTTTACACTGTCGGTGGGAATGCAGATCGATGCAGCCACTATGGAAAGCAGTATGGAGGTACCTCAAAAAGTTAAAAATGGATCTGCCTTTTGACCCCATGATCCCACTTCTTGAAATATATTCAAAGAAACCCCAAAAAACTAATTCAAAAGAACACAAGCATCCCTGTCTACATTCATTGCAGTATAATTTACAATTGCCAAGGTGTGGGAGGAGCCTGAGTGTCCATCCTTTAGTTACTTTGATATTGAGCAATGCTCCTAAGCCACCCAGAACCTCAGGAATTCCACACCAAATGGTCAAAGTGGCCCACTGGCCCCCAAAGAAAGTATCTCTAATTCAGCCTCTAGCTTAGGGGGTTATAAGGACCTTTACACCTCATTACACATGGTACTCTATGTAAGGATTATCAGCATTACAGAAGACAACCTCAAAAAAGAGAACATTGTGAATGTCTGGAGGGATTATACCATTGAAAATGCTATTGTTAGTTATAGAAAAAGCCATGAAAGCTATCAAGCTCAAAACAATAAATTCCTACTGGAGAAACGGTGTCCAGATGTTGTAAACAACTTCACATAATGTATGACTCAGACAATCAAGGGAAATGTAGAACAAATTGTGGATATGGCAAAAAAATAAATCTAAAGGGTAGGGAAGTGAAGAGTGTCAAGATATGGATCTTGGAGAAATTGAGAAATATAAAAACTAAAAGACATCACACCAGAGGAATTAATAGGAGGCAGCCTGAGGAAGATGAGGGCTTCCAAACTGGGGCCAGGTGCTGAGGAAGAAGAGGTGGAAGTGGAGGGCCTGGAAACGGATTTCATGTCAGACAATCTGGAAGAAGAGTTCCAGTTACTCAAAACTGCTTTGGACTTCTTTTATGACATTGACCCTTCCATGAAACATGCACTGAAACTAAAGCAAACAATGCAAGAAGGATTGCTACCATATAGAAACATTTTAGATAAACTAAAAAGCAATAAAGCCAGACAGAAATGATGGCGTATTTCCATACAGTTATACTGAGTCTGCCTGCCTCTGCACCTCCCCTCCCACCTCTCCCACCCCCTCCACTTCTGCCACTTATTTGTTTTCTGTTTTGTTATGATTTTCTTAATAACATTTCCTTTT